CTCTCTCCCTCTCTCTCTCTCGTCTCGTCCTCACTCACTCTCTCTCTCTCTCTCTCTCTCGTCCTCTCTTCCCTCTCTCCTCTCTCCTCTCTATCTCTCTAATCCTCTCTCTCCTTCTCTCTCCCTCTGCTCTTTCCCTGCCCCCCCCCCCCCCCCCCCCCTCTCCCCTCTCGCAAATTTCGCAAAAACCCCCGCTGCGCCCGCCTGTGGAGGGGGGGGGGGGGGGCGCGGTCGCGGCGCATCCGTTGGGCGCCGAACTGAAGGAAATGCTGATTGAACTATGAACTGAACAGAAATAAATAATAATACTTTCAAATGGATATACCGTTCAACATGCTGAATTATGTATACATATATGTATATAAAAACATATATATATATGTATTTATATGTGTATATTTATACATATATATGTTTATGCTGCGTGTGTCCGTATCAGGCAATGTGCGCGCGCGTGCGCGCGTGTGTGCGTGCGTGCGTGCGTGCGTGCGTGCGTGCGTGCGTGCGTGCGTGCGTGCGTGCGTGCGTGCGTGCGTGCGTGTGTGTGTGTGTGTTTGTGTGTGCGTGTTTGTGCGCGCGTGCGCGTGCGAGTGTGCGCGCGCGTGCGCGCGCGTTCGCGCGCGCGCGCGCTCGTGCGCGCGTGACGCTCGAACTGTCGCCGTCGCCGTCGCCGACGGACGCTCGTCGCCGCCCCGCCGCCGCCGAGACTCGCCTGTCTGATGCGCATGCGTATGTATACATGCACGCATAAATGCCGCCCCCGAGAATTGGGCCCGCTTGCAGTCGGTCCGCCGCGCCAGCCGCCGCGCAGGAGCGGCGCCGGCATCGCTTCCACTCCAAAGAGTCGAAGCGGAAAGCTCACAGAGACTCCAGATCCCCTTGCCCTTCCGCTGGCAGGCGGCTCGGTTGAAGCCAGGGGTCCGCTCGCCCCGCCCAGGGGGCCCGGGGCACTTCAGGATATTTGTTTGGCTCGTGCGTTTAATTTCAAGTTTCCTGTTGGCGGAGGTCTGCGCGGGCAGCGGCATGTTTTTGACGTGCAGCAACTGCGCGAGCTCCTCCGCTGCCTCCATCTTCATGGCCTGGCTGTGCCTGTCCGCCTTGCAGCCGATAGGGCGCGCCCAGTGCTCGTTGCCGAGAGCTTCCCTCACGGCACTCTGATGCGAATTCTCGTGGCGCGTCGCAGTGTACTTCCGCGCAAGGGCCGTCGCTGCCGCGGGCTTGGGCGTGGGCGCGGGCCCCTTCTCCCCCGCCCCCCCCTCGTCGACCTCGCCGGGCTCGTGCCCCCCCTCCCCCCCCTCGCCGTCGCCGCCCCCCTCGTCGGGGAGCTCCTCCATCCGCCAAGTCCCCAGGGCAGCTGCAGGCTTCCTCGCCGTCTTCATCGTCGCGGCGGGCTTCTCGGGCGGCAAGCCCTTGCCCTGCGGCGTCTTCTTCAGCCACGTTTCGCACGTGGCATTTGGCACTCCGTCTCCTTCCCCTTGTCGTCGCCGACGGTGGCCGTGCGCATGCCGTCGGGCCCTTGCTTCATCATGTACTCCGTGGTCGTCGCGCCGCGCTGCCCTATCAGGAGCGCGCGCTCGTAGTCGACGGAGAAGATCTCGAGCTCCTTGTTCTCGAGCTGGTCGCTCTTCTCCTCGTCGCCCATCTTGATCGCGATCGGGGGGTCGGCGGCAGCGCAGACGGCTCGCGGCGACGAGCCGACGCTGCTGGTGTCGCTGATCTGTCGCTGCAAGAGTTTCATTCATGGGCCCAGCGGGACTCCCGTGGGAGGCTTCGCGCCGCCCGCCTTGTAGATTGATCCTGGGCCCATCGTGGAAGCGCTGGCCGAGGCAGAGGCGCTGGCAGCTCGCGCAGGGGATCTGCTCCTAGGGCTGCCGCTTGGGGTCCTCGCCCCCCCCTCCCCGCCGCTGCCTGGCCCCGTCCTTCCCATCGATCCGACCTGCTGCGCTGCGGGGTGCAACTTCGATCCGTCTGTGGCGCTCCTGAGTTCCTGAACCTCCTGAGGACGTGCGAGAGCGCAGCCGCAATCTTTCTCGCATACATGCGGGCGTCATCGCTGGGCACGCCGAGCTTGTTGATGATCACATCTCGTACTTGAGGCTCAGAACTCCGCTTGGTGAGCTGAATGGCACCGCCCAAGAACGCCATGTTGTTGGCGACCAAGTCGTCCATGTCGGATTGGGAGATTTTCATCGCCAGTATCTCCTTCTGGCATGACTTCGCCAAATTTCTCATGCTCTCCACCGAAGCCGTTTCTTCACCCGCTCCTGAGTGATGGTATGCCAAAAAACAAAAGACAATCAATTATGCTAACGGGGTTCCCCACATAAAGATGTTACGGGGTTCCATTGCTTCTTGTCTGCGCTCTGGTGGGGCCTCCCTGGAGGGGTGGGAGGGGCACGAAACCTGATGAATAATATGGTGTGCGAATACCCTGCCCGCTCTGGCGGGGCCTCCCTGGAGGGGTGGGGGGGGGCGCGAAACCTAATACATAATATTGTGCACGGATACCCTGCCCGCTCTGGTGGGGCCTCCCTGGAGGGGTGGGGGGGGGGGGGCACGAGACCTGATGAATAATATGGTGTGCGAGTGCCCTGCCCGCTCTGGTGGGGCCTCCCTGGAGGGGTGGGAGGGGCGCGAAACCTAGTAAATAACGTGGTGTACGGATACCCTGACCGCTCTTGTGGGGCCTCCCTGGAGGGGTGGGAGGGGCACGACACCTGATAAATAACATGGTGTGCGAATGCCCTGCCCGCTCTGGTGGGGCCTCCCTGGAGGGGCGGGAACGGCACGAAACCTAATAATAACATATGGCGTGCGAATACCCTGCCCGCTCTGGCGGGGCCTCCCTGGAGTGGCGGGAGGGGCACGAAACCTGATAAATAATATGGTGTGCGAGTGCCCTGCCCGCTCTGGTGGGGCCTCCCTGGAGGGGTGGGAGGGGCGTGAAACCTGATAAATCATACGGTGTGCGAATACCCTGCCCGCTCTGGCGGGGAGCTATGCGTATTGTGGGACTTGGCTTGGGAACTCGATTGGCTGCGGTATGTGGATGACGTGTTGGCGGGGAGCTATGCGTATTGTGGGACTTGTCTTGGGGTTTTCATCCAGAGCTTGTATTCCGAAACAACGTCTGAGGTCTTCAGCAGCGACACGTCTCAAGACCAAGTGTGTGTTTGGGTGACGTTGGAGATACATCGTCAACAGAATCGTGTGTGGTGGACTCTGAAAAATCCTAACAGGGCGTGGATCTATGGAGAAGGGCCTCAAAAGGGGCCTACATTATTTTTGCCATGGTTGAGGGCTTCGCCAATTGGTTTCAACCAGATTCGCGGGGTGCTCGTGGGCAGGTTGGCCGTGGCCTAGGATGCTTTGCTGACTCTGGAGGCCTAGACAGTAATTGTTCTTGAGGCCGCCTGTGAGATGATGCGATTGGGCTATCCTCTTCCGTTCGTGCGGAAGGTGGTTCATTCTATCCCATCCGTGTACCCTGCAGCACTGAAGGCTCGCGAGGTCATTCGAGTGTTCATCCGGATGAAGCGCCCGTTCCATCAAGGCGGCTCCCGGGGGGGCCAATGGTTCCAGCGGCCGGGCGGCTCTGGAACCCTCGAGAAGCACGACCCGGCGTACGCCAAGTACACGAAGGCGCAGGTTGACAAGGAGGCCGAGGAAGCTTATGCACGTCAAGGGAAGATGATCGTGGACGCCTTGCGGTCAACGGGGGCCGTGGGTCCGGGCGCGGCCCAGGTCCTCGGGCCGCTTGGGGCAGCGTCGGCCGGTTCCGCGCAGCCCTTCCCCCCGCCGGCTCCGGCGGCCCAGCCGGAAGGAGGTGGCTTCACGCCGCGGCAGCTCGAGCAGATCAAGGAGCTTATCCAGGCGGCGCTGCCGCCGCAGGCGGCTGGGAGCCCGCCGGAAGACTCCGTCTTATCCGGGAAGCAGCGCGAGGGCATCAAGAAGGTCTTCAACAACAAGATTGCGTGCACGGACAAGAACACGTTTCGCGCGGAGTTCGTCGCGCAGTGGAAGGTGAAGGCGTTCCAGAAGAGTTTCAACAAGTTCGTGAAGGAGCAGGACGCGGAAGAAGCAGTGCCGTATTTAGCAAAGGCCAAAGCCGATTTCATTTTGGACCTGTTCGACCAGCAGTGAGGCGACGCTGCAACTGTATGGCTTGTTGCTTCCAGGGCCTCCCCTCCGGCACACCACAAGGGCACGTCTTGGTTCAGATCTTTGTGTGGCGTGACGTATGTGGCCTTCCTACTGGTGACCGTTTGGGGGATTACATTGGCACTGGTGTGGTTGTTTGTCACCAACGTCGCAGATCACTTCATCAACCTTGCCGTTGCCCAGCTTCGGGATTTTACTCAGCATGTGATGGTGGGGCAGATCATCCGGGAGGTTCAAAGCACAATCGGTGGCGCTATCGAGTCTTACGTGGGGGAAAGAATTTGGACGTACGGTCGCCAGTATCTTATGGGGTTGGCTCAGAACATGGTTGCGATCCGGCTTTGACATCGGGCAGGCTTTCCGGACGTGTGATGGCTGTCTAGGCCTTGAGGCTTCTGACGGTCCGGAGTGTCACGGACAGGCGCGAATTCTCCTAAGCACTGGCGGAAATTTCGGGGAGGGTCCGGATTTTGACTTTGGTTCGCGCGCGTCGCACGACAGCTCAAGGCCGCGGGCCAGTCTTTTGGGCACGGACGCTCATCCAGGAGACAGGTGGTCCATCGCATGTTTGTGATTTCTTGAGATCTGGACGTGCGGTCGCGGCTGGAAGCGAGACTGAAAAGACAGGGAACGTCGTCGCAGAATCGTCAGCATCCATAGCATCTGCCAGGTCTGTCGTCAGCGAGGTTATCACGTTCTCTTCCAGAGTAGTTCCGCACACCGCAGAGGAGGAGGAGGAGGAGAAGGAGGAGGAGGGAGGAGGAGGAGGATGAGGAGGAGGGCATCGGTGGGTTGGTATGCTGTCCACCTCTGGAGGCCTTGCCCCCTGCCCGAGGCGCTCCTCGCCGGTCACCCTCGCCCCGTCGAGCCCAGACGACTGGATGCTGGACATCTTGTTCATCCTCGCGGGGAGCCGGCGGCGACAACTCCTCCTCCACATCCTCCTCCTCCTCCTTCTCCTCCTCCTCCCCTTTCTCCTCCTTTCTCCTCCTCTTTCTTCTCCTCCTCCTCCTTCTCCTCCTCCTCCTCCTTCTCCTCCTCCTCCCCTTTCTCCTCATTTGTCCTCCTCTTTCTTCTCCTCCTCCTCCTCCTCCTTCTTCTCCTCCTTCTCCTCCTCCTCCCTTTTCTCCTCCTCCTCCTCCTCTTCTTTCTCCTCCTCCTCCTCATTCTCCTCCTCCTCCTCCTCATCCTCCTCCGGCGGCGGCGGCGACGAGAAGGTAAGACAAGCGCCGAGAAGCGGACCAGGCTTCAGTCTACACCGTGGGTTCTAGCGGGTGGCGCTCAGGTTCTGTTCAACACGTGCCCATTGGCCACTTTCGCCACCGTCTGGACTCCGAAACGGGCACGAAATTGTGACGAAACCCCATCTTGCGAACTCGAACCACACATTCCTACAAATCCAATCTGCGAGTGGATCGAACGAGAACGACACAACGAATCCGAGGAAAGCACAAGCCACGGGTTCCCACAACATCGGCACCTGCATCGCCGTTATCTCCAGTGGCGGCCAGGAGAGGGACGTCCAAGAGGGGGGGGGGAAGGGCAAATCCTGGCCGGCGGCATGTACGCGGTCCAGGAGGTGGGGCCGGGGACGCATTGAAATAACAAGAAAGAGACGTCCTGAAATCTGGGGAAGTACCATGGCCCCCGCCATGAGATCCACCCCCCCTGGTCGTCACCCCCCTCTTGGCCGCCCCCGATACCTACATCGGCGAAGACAGACCCAGCCCACGACGACAAAGCAGCGGACGACGATTTAATCGGGCACGTCCTCTTTCAGGCGGATTTTGGACGAAAAATGAAGCATACTCCAAACATACGCAAAATAATCAAATGACATACGAAAAAAACGTCCGCCCATGATTTTTGCTAGTTTTGAATATTCCCCAATCAGAGCTTGCCTCTGTAGGGGTCCTAGCGGATGTAAAGCTGAGGTGAGGTGGGCGGCCGATTTCGGTGGCCGGGGCCGGGTGCCCGGGTGCCCGGGGGTGCCCGGATGGCCGATTTCGGTGGCGGGGTCTGGGTGCCCGGGTGCCCGGGTGCCCGGGGGTGCCCGGGTGCCCGGGGGTGCGCGGGTGCCCGGGGGTGCCCAATAGCCGTATAGCCCAGCAGCCCTATAGCCCTATAGCCCTAGAGCCGTATAGCTCTATAGCCCTGTAGCCCTATAGCCTTATATCCCTATCGCCCTAATAGCCTTATATCCCTATAGCCCTATAGCCCCATAGCCCATATAGCTCTATAGCCCCATAGCCCTATAGCCCTATGGCCCTATAGGTCACAGTCCTATAGCCCTATAGCCCTATAGCCCGAGAGCCCTATAGCCCGATAGCCGTATAGCCCAATAGCCCTATAGTCCTAACAAAAATTTGATTGGGTTTTTTCTCCGGTATCATTCGTCATGTAGAGGGACACGCCCGACTTAACACGACGACGACACAACGGACGACGACGGGGGCGACGGCGACGGCGACGAGGACGACGACGAACACGAGGACGAGGACGACGGGGACGAGGACGACGGCGGCGGCGACGACGACGGCGACGAGGACGACGAGGCAGCGGACAACGACGGGGGCGACGGCGGAGGCGTCGGCCGAGGTGTGGGCGGCAATGGGGGCGCGGGGCGCACGCACGAGGCGCCGAGACTGCGGGGCAGAGCCGCGGCGACGCCGCGGCAGCGCGGCAGGGCCGGCGGCGGGCCGAAGCGCAGCAGCCGCAGCGGGAGCCGTCGAGCACGCGCCCGGGCACGGGGGGAAGAGGAACATTCAGGAAATATGGCAGATGTGGGCCTCCTCCTCCTCCTCCTCCTCCTCCTCCTCCTCCTCCTCCCGCTCCCCCTCCTCCTCCCGCTCCCCCTCCTCCTCCTCCTCCTCCTCCTCCTCCTCCTCCTCCTCCTCCTGCTCCTCCTCCTCCTGCTCCTCCTCCTCCTCCTCCTCCTCCTCCTCCTCCTCCTCCTCCTCCCACTCCTAGCCCTTTCGATCAGGGTCGGCGGCACCGGCCGTCAGGCCTCTCCAATCCTGGGACGTGTGTCTGTTTACGTGTGTCCCTGGGCCCCTTCCTGTCCGGTGGCCCCCTTCTGGCCTTCTCCCTTCTGGGGGTGGCGACGTCGACCCCAGCGCCGTCCGTGGAACTCTGGCGGCCTGGTGCATCCTGGGGGTTGCCAGAAGTACCCCTGGCCTAAGTCGGGCGCGTCCCTCTTCAGGAGGGAGGAACATTCAAACACAACCAAAAAGTTGTCAGACCAAAAAGTTGTCAGGGGACAACTTCTTTCGATTATTTAAGTAAGTCTGACTATGTTTGACCTATGTGTAATTTGTCTCCCAAGATCCGCCTGTAGGGGGACATGGCCGACCTGAGCCCAGGCCGATGCGGTTTTCTGGCGCCCCGCGCATCGGTGACTTAAACAGCCTCGAACGGATCCCTATCCCTGAGATGGGCGAGCCAAAAGCGATGGCAATGTTAGAAATAGGCTCCAAGAAACTAAAGGAATCCTTTATGATCGGCATCGAGGTAAGGTGATGGCAAGCATGGGGATAGGGATCTGTTTCAAACTCGTGCTGCATCAAAAAAACATCATGATGTTCTGAGCCGCTTCCCTCGACCTTCACCCTCCGCGAGGCCGCCGTCGACGGAGTCGATGGCGGCCTCGCGGTAGACACGCCGCCGCGCGCGGGCGGCGCCGCTGCGGCAAGCCGCGCGACCGCGCGAGGCAGGGACGCCAGCAGCGACGGGGAGACGGGTTGCTTTCCCCCTTTCCCCTTAAGTCGCCACGGGGCGCACCCCTCTTCGTGTGTTATACACACACACACATCTATATATATATATATATATATATATATATATATGCACCCCTCTTCGGCTGTTATTTATATATACATATATAAAAATATAATAAGAAACGAAAAAAAGTGCCGCGCAGCGGCCACCGCCTGCGCGGCCGCAGTGGCGGCCGCCGTCGAGGTCGCAGCGGCATTCTCACCGGTCGCCGCGGCCGCGCCGCGGCGGCACCTGCTGCGCGGAAGGCTCGGGACGCGGAGGCCGAGGGCAGCTGGGGGCGGGGTCGCCCTCGCGCCCCTCGCGCGGCCAGGGGGCCAGAGCAGGGGCGGCCGAGCAACGCCCTGGCCCCTCTCCTACGCGTTCCTCCCGCGACGCGCGCTTCGGCCAAGCGCGGGACCCGATTTGTTCAGTGCGGCGCGCCCCCGGAAGTCCAGACCCTTTCACCAGAGCCAAATTGCAGCCGGAATCGTTCTTTGACGGTCCCGTGGCCCGGCGAAAGCCCCCAAGGGCCGAAGACACTGAAAACCTTGCGGATTTGTTCCCAGACGCCACAAATCGTGAGTCGTTTTTTTGTTTCTCCCAGTGGCCGAAAATAGTGGCAACCCTGCCGTTCTCATTCTTCTTCGACGCGACCATGTCTGGGTTCACGCCCTCGCGCCAGCCGCCTGTGGATACACCTTGCGAAATGCTTTAGAAATCATGTGTTAAGAAATTCTTAATCTCAGAACTTGAATAAAAACTCAGCATGTCTATTAACATCTTAATATTTACATTGAAACGTGAGGAATAATCGAGACTCTGGTCGAAAAGTTAAGTTTTCTTAAGCATCGCCTAAGGTGTACGGGCGGGCGGGCCTCTCAAGGCCAGGCGGCGAAGCGGGCCTGTCCTCGCGGCCGCCGCGGGTGGCCCACCGCAGCGCGCGCGCAGCCCGGCTGCTCGCCCGCGATCGCTGGCGCCGGCGGACAAGAAATCTGCCCCATCCCGTCCAGAGCGGCCGACATCTGCTCTACTGTCAGGGGGGCGTAAGACCCGGGTACAGGGGACTCGAAAATCCCCGACTAGGTCGTCAAAAAATCACGAGGCCGAGCCTGCATTTTGACGAGGCCTCCCGCTGCAGACATCCCACGAAACTCTTACTCGTCAAAATCCGAGTCACGGTCGTCAAAAAACAATGGCGAACCCGAGTCCTGGCAAACCCGGGTCTTACGCTCCCCCGATATTGGGCCCGCGGAGCCCTCCCAGGGAAACACATAATGATGACATGCATTGGAAATTTCAGGGGGGCCAGGTCTGTATGGGGGCGTCAGGAATGCCGCCTGATCGCTGCTCGTCGCCGTGGCTCTTGGTTCGCCAGTTTTCGAGTCAACATGCACTTGGTGCGCGAAAGTTCCGATCAATATTTTCGTTGCACCGCGGGCCCAGCACGACTTCCATCTAGAACTTCAAATCCTGAGGTCGTCTCCCAGGGTTGGATTGCAAACGGCAGTCGAACCCGTCTGGCAAAGTATCAAAGTAGCTTGAACCACGCGCGACAAAAAGGCAGCGCGTGACGATATGGTGCAGCCAACGCTAATACACTTGCATATGATTGGGCAAATCAACGCCCGGCGAACACATGCGCGTTTATAACCAGACAAGGGAGCTTACAACAGGTTCGCGTTTCCACGAGGTGATGTTGAACGCCAGCGGCACCCCGCCGTTGCGCCGGAACTGACAAGACAGCCTGACGTCGATGTCTCCACGCAAGACAGCCCAGCGCCCCCGCGCGCGCGGCGGCGCAGAGGCTGCCCCCATCGGTGCTCTGCGCCGCATGCGACGGCCTGGCGCCGCCGCGCGCGCGGGGCGCACGGGCCGTCTCCGTCGCGACTCTCTACGCAAGCATCCAAGCGCCGCCGCGCGCGCGGCGGCGCAAAAGGTCGTCTGCGTGAAATTTCTCTGCGCACGTCGGCCAAACGCCGCCGCGCGCGCGGCGGCGCAGGAACGGCCCGCGGTGCTTTTTACGCGTGACGACCCCACCCCGCCGCGCGCGCGGCGGCGCAAAGGCCGCCCCCACTGCGTTTCTCCACGCGCGACGGCCCAGCGCCCCCGCGCACGGAAGCGCAGAAGCCGGTCTCGCCTGGCGTTCAAACTTGCGGCTGCCCAGCGCCGCCGCGCGCGCGGCGGCGCAGGGGCCGCCTCCATTGCGTTTCCGCGCGCGCGACGGCACAGCGCTGCCGCGCGCGCGGCAGCGCAATGGCAGCTCGCGCTGCATGTCTCCGCGCGCGAAGGCCCAACGTCGCCGCGCGCGCCGGCGCAAGGGCCGCTGGCGTTGCGTTTGCCGCGCGCGCGGTGGCGCAGGGGCCGCTTCCGTTGAGTTGAACAGCGCGCGACGGCCCAGCGCCGCCGCGCGCGCATTTGCGCGGCGGCGCAGAAGCTGGCCTCGTCGCGCATTCCACGCGCGACGGCCCATTGCCGCCGCGCGCGCGGCGGCGCGAAGGCCGCCCCCATTGCGCTCTGCGCACGGCGGCGCGGCGCCCCCCCCGCGCGGCGCCGAAGCAACCGCTCGCGGCGCGTTTGGCGTGGCTTTCTTTCTCCGCGCGCGACGGACAAGCACCGTCGCGCGAGCGGCGGCGCAGAGACCACTGCCGTTGCATGTCTCCGCGAACGTCGGCCCAGCGCCGCCGCGCGTGGCGGCGTTGGCCGAGCGCTTGCCTCGCCGTCAGCCGAACGGTTGTTGTGAACTTCGCTGCCAGAGCTTCCCCTGTCCTGTCTAGGCGTCAGCCAGGCGATTAGGGCGACGCGCTCTGCGCAGGGCTCCTATCTCGCGCAGTGCGCGAGCGGTTTTTGCGAGGGTGGCTCGAAGGGCGCGTTCAGTTTCGGCGCCAGCCGGGCGATTCGCGTGGACTCCAACAACCAGAGAATCCCTGCGCGATGGTCTGCGAGGCTCTGGATCGACCGAGGCGCAAGGGCCCGGAGGTTCCAGGTCGACCGAGAACGCCCAGGCGATTCTGGATCGCCCAGGAAACTCCGGGTCAAGCGAAGCTAATTGGTCTGGGAACCTCTGCATGATTGAAAACGCCCCGGCAACCGCCGCGAGCGCGGGCGGGCGCGCCCATGCGCCCGCGGCGTCTGCGGGCGGGCGCGCCCAAGCACCCGCGGCGCGCGTGGGCGCGGGCACCCGTGCTGACCGGAAGAATTGCCCCCCCGAGTTAACCAATCGAGACCGGCCGAAGTGATCGGCCGAGTCGATCGGTGGACCGCGCGTTGACCGCCGAAACCGCGCGTTGACCGACCGAGTTGACCGCCCAGCGCGACCGCCCGGTCCCTCGCTGACCGCTAGGCCGCGCGTTGACCGCCCGAATTGACCGCCCGATTTGCCCGTCCAACCGCGCGCCGACCGACTTAGATTGGCCGCCCAAACCTTGGTGGACCGCGCCAGGTGAACCGCGCAACCGCCTCACTCGCGCGGCGCCGCGATTGCAGGTGGCGGGAGAGACTCGGCCATGCCGCGCTGGAAGATTCCAATGGCCTCAGAGACGCGCCCGACGGAAGGCCACTCGCCTTGCGTTTGCCGCGCGCGGAGGCGCTGGGCCGTCGCGCGCGCGGAAAATCCACGGCGAGCGCCCCTTTTTGCCGTCGCGCGCGTGGCGGCGCGGAGGCCGCCTCCATCGCTTTCGGGCGCGCCGGACGGCCCAGCGCCGCCGCGATTCGCCGCCAGCGAATGCCGGGTGCAATCTGGCAGGGTTCCCCCGTTCGTCTAGAGCCCGCTCGTCGCGCCGCGCACTTCCCCGTGCGTCGCCACTCCCCCCAAGTGTTCCTGGGCGACTGCGTTTACTCCCCGGGGCTCTCCAAGTCTTCCAAGACGGCCCAAGGGGGCCACCGCGGCCGCCAAGATGGCCTCATGTTCTTTCTTAGACGGCCAAAGATGGCTCCAAGACAAACCAAGATGGCCCCATGGAGGCCCCAGCCAGAATCAATATGGTTCAAAGAAGACGCCCCCGCATACGTCCCAGGACGGCCCAAGAGGGTTCCAAGGGGACCACCGAGAGACCCAAAGGACGACACTCACTGATATTGAAATGGTAATTCAATGATTCGGGGTTATCATCGCCCTGGGCCCCCGTCGGCTCGAGACAAACAAGAAGCCCCCAACGTTTCCCTGAGACGGCCCAAGAGGCCCCCGGCATGACCCGAGAAACCTCCGAAATGGCCTCGACTCAACCATCACGGGCCGGCATCTATACGGCGCAGGACGGCCCGAAAAAGGCCCTTTATACAGCCTACGAAGACCACCGAAAATATCCAAAGAGGGCCTGGGAGGGCCCGATCGACTCCCGACGGGCACATACGCCCTCGAGACGCCCACATGAAGGCCACAATAAAGACCAAATACGGCTCACGCATAACCCGAAGCAAACCAAGAAAACCGCAAGGGGCCCGCAAGACTGCCCGCGGGAACCCAAGACTATCCTGACAAGGCCCAAGCGATCTTCATGACAGCTCTTCAAGAGATGGACTGGACAGGCGTCACATGTGACAACCTTCCGTCTGTTCCTCCTCCACATCAACATCACCATCGCCGTCCTCGTCACCATCGTCAAAACGAGCTGCGTCGCCATCACCATCGTCACCATCAATCGAACAATCGCCACCCAAAGAGCTGGACTGGCAAGGAGGCGGGACTTGCTTCTGGCAGCTGGACGCATTGCGAGGCGCACTCGGCGACGCGCGCGCTGTGCCATCTCCAGAAAGCTCGCCCACAGCCTTTGGCTGTGCAGCGCGAGCCCCCGCGCAAACACCGCGTGACATCGAAGCCTTGTTGTTCAAATGTGGGCGCGTGTGGGCGCATGCCCCGCGCGGCGTGGCATGGAGAAAAACACATAGAGACAATCGCGTGCCTATGCGCTCCGCGGTAAAGAGTCCGTTGGCGCCGCGCGCCATACAACGACCCACGCGTCGTGGGGCCCACGGAGAACCGCGCTGTCGGCGAGCGATGGTGCACGCAGAACTCAGGACATCAAGACCGCCACCCCCGTCGCAAAACCGAGGTCGATTCTCGATGTTGTATCATGTAGGACGAGGCCGCAGACCGACGAGATTGAAAGACCGAGGCCGGAAACGAATTTCGAAGCCGAATACCGACTTGCATCGCAAGAAATAGCGGCAACCCCAAGGCCGAATATCGAAGCCTTGGGCACAGGTCGACGCCGAAAACCACACCCAACCCATCGGACAAACCACCCCGAAGACCGACGTATATGCAATCATGTGAAACAACGCTTTCAAGTGCATACCCAAAGTTGGGAATCTAGAGCCACGGCGTAACCCGAACATGAGTCAAAACAACAAATTGACACCAAAAACTCCCGCACCAAAGCGAAAACAGATTTCCGCTTTACTCGCCCTCCCTGCCCCCCCCCCCGGCCATGGGGCCATTCTACAGACGACCCCCTTTTCAGATCCCCAGAGCAAGACATAAACATAAAAACTCGGAGATCCGCGCGGATTTGTCGGAACGGCGCTCGGCCCCCGTCCCTGGCGCGCGGAGCGCGCCACGCGCGGCGCAGGCGGCGCCGCCAGGTGCCCCCAGCGCCGATCCACGAAATCCGCGCGGACCTCCGAATGTTTTTGTGTATCTCATGCTTCGTTCCCCGAAAACGCCCCTCTGACTTGGTTGTGTGTTGGTGGGTTCGGGTCGCGAAGGACGAGGCGAACAAAAAGACGAGGTTTGGGAAACGGAGGGTGAGGGGGAGATACGCGACGCTGCCGTGACAAGGACTCTCTTTCTCTCTCTCTCTCTCTCTTTCTCCCTGTCTCTCTGAGCCGGGATACTCAACACCTTCGCGTGTGCTGCTCTAGCGCGCAACCGAACTACCAGACAACGGTAAACTCGGCATGCGGCACTGCAACGGCGCTGGCCATGAAGATGTGCTGCCGTGGTCAAAGCTCTGGCCTGCTCAGGGGCCCCGCTTGCTCTGGGCCGGACGGAGGGAGGGGCTAATCGAGCGGGGCTCTCTTGGCGGCGGAGGCGCAAACGTACCCAGGAAAGCGCCCAGCGGCGGGGCAAGAGATTTCGTACTCCAGATTTCGTAATCAAGGGAGGGGGGTCTCATTTCGGGGGGGGTCTCTTCCAGGCTATCTTGGAGGGCCTGGGGGGTCTGGGGACTATGTTTTGGAGGGTTCTCCCACGGGGGAGGTCTGAAATGGCTTGTCTTGGAGGGTCCAGACCCCCTCCCTTTTATTACGAAATCTGGAGTACGCGGTCGACGGCCCGTCCCGAAGGCGCGTATGAGCGCTGACGCGCCATGGCCGACAGAGGCCGTTCGCCACCCCCGAGCGCTGTGCACCGAGGGCCACGCGCCGAGGGCTCCAACGCGATCGGCACGGGTGGCGCGGGGCAGGTGCCAACGACAAGACATGAGCGGGCACGGCAGACGAGCAACAGGGAAGGGGCCCCAGGACACACAAATAAATACACACAAATAAAAAGATGTCCCATATTCTCCCATATTTTCTGGGTTTTTGTCTTTCCCCCCACTTCCCATATTCTCCCATATTTTCTGGGGAATCGACGATTCATTGTGTCTGTGTGTTTTCCCTCCTGAAACAGGGCTGCCGAACGACCAACGGCGGACGGGAACCAGCGCTCGGAACACCGCGCAGAGGGAGAAGCAGGAGGAGCAGAATCACCAGTGGCACGAGAGGGAGAGGAGAGATGAGGCGGAGGAGTGCGTGGAAAGTCCTTGGGATTGCTGCTGGGTTGTTGTACGTGTTCCAGCGGGTTCTTGGGGGTGTCCAGGGGGCTGGGGGATCTATTGAGGCCCTCCTGGGTGCCCTGGTCGGAACGTAGATACCGAAAGCGCAGCTGCAACCAGACAGTAGGGACGCACACAGGGCATGGATGAACAGAGAACCACGCACGTGTTCGCTGAAATAGCCAATGACGGCAGAGGGGAAGCGGCGGGCGGAAGTCCTGACGATGTTCTCCTCCACCTGATAACGCGGGAGGCCGACGCAGTTGGTCACCTAATCAACGGGTAAGGTGGGCAGATGGCATGGCCGTTCTGATTCTGTCGGGGGCACGCAAACATGGATTAGCGATCCATGGATCGGGCGCGCGGTCGCCAAATCCATGGATCGGGGGAGGTGCCCTCCCCAGAATGCGGCCGGGGCCGCCTCGTTCGGCAACAGAAATCCGCCATTTCCCATGGAAACGACGAGAAACAAGGACCACCGCCACCGAGAATCCATCGGGGGGGGAAGGGGGCGACCTTCGGGCGGTGGTATGCCTGAGCGTCGTCCCGCCGCCCAGGGGTCGCCTTTTCCTCCGCCTTTCCTCCTCCTCCTGCTCCTGCTCCTCGTTCTCCTCCTCCTCCTCCTCCTCCTCCTCTTCCTCCTTCTCCTCCTCCTCCTCCTCCTCCTCCTCCTCCTCCTCCTCCCCCCGCGATGGGTTTTCGGAAGCGGTTGCCCATGTTTATCACCTGGGCAATGACAAGGCATAGCCCGTATCTGTCAAAGGCGGATCTTGTCATGTTGTTGGGCTCGGCGGGAACGTCACGTCGCCTACGATGGAGAAGTCTGATCCGCCACCATGCCCCCTGGCACGGTAAGGCGTACTAGAATGCCAAGTGCTATCTGGCAGGGTCTCAGTAGTCTTCCAAGGCCCCCCCCCGCCTCGTCATACTGCCCTGCATGCATCGCCCCCTCTTCTCGAGGCCACAATCCCTGGAACATATTACCGATTTGCGCTCTGGGCCAAGATTTGGAAGCCGGGCAAGGGCTGCTAAATCCGTGGCTGCTAAAATCGACCTCCGGGAAGTTGTCTTCGTCCTTCCGGGAAGAAGCCTGTTGACTGTTTCGCGTGCCGCACCTCATTCCGGGAAGTTGTTTCTTCCTTCCGGGAGGGCCGTTTTAGCAGCCACGGTTTTAGCAGCCCTCGCCCAGCTTCCGAAAGATGCCTCCCAGACGGCCCAGTATGACTCCAAGACGGCTCTCTGCGGCCTCAAGACGGCCCCGAATGGCCTCAAGGCGGCCCCAGAGGCCTTCGAGCCGTCCCGCGAGAGCCCCGAGAGCGTTCCCAAGAAGGCCTCGAGAGGTTAGATAGCTCATATGTTCGGGGTTCTCGCCTTGTCGAGCTTCCGAAGTCCGAAGACGCCCAAGGAACCCCCCAACAGAACCCCAAGATGGCCGCAGAGGTCTCGAAGAGGGCCTCAAGACGGCCCCGGGGAATTCCAAGAAGGCCAACGAGGCGCTCAAGACTCCCCACACGGCCCCAAGACGGCCCCGAGAAGGTCCCAAGAGGGAGAACACGGACGACAACTCCACCCTTCCGCCCCAAGGGGCCCCCAGGAGGTCCTGATAAGACAGAAAAAATCCAAAGAGGCCCCCAAGAGGGCCCCGCGAAACAAATGATTAAATCTGTGTGTTTCCGATGTGTGTTGGGTCCTCGCCTGTTCGAGCTTCCGAGGCTCCAAAACAATCGAAGTCACCACCACCAACACAACCAACACCAACAACACCACCACCACCTTCAGCATCCTCATCACCATGATCATGATCAACATCATCATCTTCATCAGTATCAGTAGCATCACCATTATCAACATCAGCGTCATCATTAGCATCATCATGAGCATGATCATCATCACCAGCATCACCATCACCATCACCACCACCACCATCATCATCAGCATTATCAGTATCATCATCATCATCCTCATCAGCATCATCATCATTGTCGTCATCATCATCACCATCATCACCAGCATCATCACAAGCATCAGCAACATCCTTACCATCATCATGAGTAGGAGCATCATCATTCTCTTCATCCTCATCGGTACCAGCATAAACAACATCGACATGCTCATCCTCATCCGCAACATCATATATAATCCTCATCAGTATCACCATCATCAGCTACATCAACGCCAACATCATCAACATCATGATCATCATCATCACCATAACCATGACCACAACCGCCATCAGCCCATACTTAAATTGCCACCTCCGCATCCACCATCATTATCATCATCACCATCACCATCGCCATCATCATCAATACCATCGTCGCCTCCATCACCATCATTGTCATCATCAGCGTCAGCATCATCATCACCATCACTACCACCACCATCATTGTCATCAGCCTCATCACTCACCATCAGCATCACCCTCATCATGATCCTCATCGCTGTCAGCCTCAGCATCATCATCAACAGTCACATCATGAGCATGATCATCATCAACAGCAGCATGATCGCCACCATCAGCATCATCATCACCACCATCATCGTCATCAATATCATAATTATCATCATCCTCACCATCATCCTTACCGTCATCACAATCATCATCATTGTCATCATCATCACCATCACCACCATCATCTCCATCACCACCATCAGATATACTCATCATCATCTTGATCATCGTCCCCATCCTCATCCTCATCTTCATCCTCATCATCTTCATCATCAGGGCTCCACCAAACCAGGGGACACGGGGTGTCACACGAGACTGCCCCTTGTGCCCCCTCGGGCAGAATGCTGGGCTGGCATGTGGCGGGACTCGCTGCAGGCAGCTGCAAACCAACAATGAATGCGAGGATGAGATGCAGGATGAGGAAGAGGAGGAGCGAGAGTGGTGGAGACTCACCAGGAAGTTCGACTTGTCCCACGTGAACTTCTCCCTGACGTCTGCAAAAAGCACGGCGCCGTTGCCCTGGCGGTTGGCGGGCTCGCGCCAGCGGCGGCAGGCTCACACGTCGTCGTCGTCGTCGTCGTCGTTGTCGTCGTCGTCGCTGTCTTCGTCGCCATCAGTCCGCATCTAGTCGACGTGCGTCGTCGTCCGTCACCAGCGACGTCACAGAGGGGTGCCCCTGCAAAGCAATCCGCCCTCCGGCGAAGCTCCCCGCGGAACCGCCTCGACAGCGGAGTCCACCTTCAACGTCACGCCCCCAAGCGCGTTCTCGGTCCAC